AGCTCTTAACCTACAGAGTTGGGAGCATCCCCCCAAGTCCCAGGAGTGGGATGGCCACAAGCAGAGGAGGGCAGGAAGACACCCTTTCAGAATCCACAGAGGCATAATCCCCGGCATCTCTGGGGTGCGTAAGGAACTGGCAGCCCTAGGAAAGCCAGCCGGACACAGAGCCTTCAAGAATGGGGTGACTGTTTTTGTGCAAGAGACAGAGCTGCAAGCTGGGCTGAGTGCTACATAAACAAGTGTAGCAACCACACATCAAAGGAGTGGCATTTTCTTGGCCTAGCCGTGGCAAAGACTGTCTCTTCAGACACACCTACACCCACATGGATCACTGTCAGGAGCCTGATCTCCCAGTAGAAAGGGCCCTAAAATCTAAAGAAAGAAGTGTGCATGCTGAACACCATTTCACATAACTTGTTTACCGTTTTCAGAGAGTGGGGTTTTTCTAGTACCCTGCCACCGGTGGTTGCTAAGTAGAGACACCCAAAACTAAAGCCAGTGGAAAGCTTCTGAGGGTAAACTACTTAGGAAACAGAGAACATTTAAAAATCCTGATGCAATCAATGCATTTCTGTATTGGAAATGCTCACTTCAGAAATCCACAAGGATTCTCAGAGACTTGCATGAACTTCCAGGTGATTTGAGTTCGAATTTCTCCTAGTCTTTCTGTCCCTGGCACCTAGCAAAATGGCTCATATATAGAAGGGGCTTAATAAATGCTCGTTGGATTAGACCAAGCTAGACTGAAAACTCTTCACCCATGCGTGAACATATGAAACTTTCAAACTGACAGTGTGGGTAGGTGGTTGTTTCTGTAGAGAGGAGGGGGGTTTGGGAAGATTCTGAGAAGAGAGCACAATTTCCAAAGAAGGTTTCCAAATGTGTTTTGGGCAATGGCAGCAGCATTGTTGGCATACATATATGGCCTCCAAATGGAACAGCACTCATTTGGATGTCTCTGTTCTTGGATGTTTGTCAAAAGGCCAGACTCATTATATTACAGTCACACCCCATCTATAGCATCATATTCTTATCCTGCAGCTGTTCATTTCAGTGAAAGGGATTTGACATTTGCTTTGGGGGTGGGGAGAGAGGGCGGGAATGGGAAAGTAAAAAATGTCCAGTGCTCACTTAGTATAGAAGGGGTAACTCCTAGGACAGCACAAATATCTGGGACCTGTGTCTATGTCCCATCTTGACAAAATGGTGTGTCAGGTCAGTGATCTCAGTGATTTACTTACTTTCCAAAGCCTGCCATCTAGGAGAGACTGTGCATCCTGATTTGTCTTATTCCAGTACCTTTTCATGGCCCAGTGGTAAACCTGGAGTGCATGAAGGCAGGTTCTACTATGCTGCAAAAGCTTCTGAGCGTGGGCAGAGTAACATCATGACATGACAGCCAACTACAGAAGTACTCATTGGCACCAGGAGGTTGCTCCTAGGTGAGGAATCCTTTGTCTGTGGCAACCCATGAATGATCAGATCTGGTTCTCATTTTCTAGAGGCTTCTCAGCCCTCTACTTTACTTTGTGTACATACAGCCAAGGGACATTACAACTGAAATACTCTTCTATTTGTCCCTCAAACTCAACATTTTACCACTTTTAGGAAAGTACAAAAGCCTCAGCGGGACCTCCTTTTTTCAGTTCGCACTCAAATTCCATCCCCAGTGCTAACGTGTTTTCCTTTCCTCCATTTAAGGAATGTCACCCTTCATTGAATGAATGACTACTTCATTTTGAGTATGAATGTGGTCAGTCAGTACTGTCACCAAATTAGCACCGAGTGTGAGTAAGCAGAGGCCACCATAGAACAAGCATTGCACATAGATACTAGCTTAAGGAAATAGTGACTACAGCAACACTCATAACAATAGCTAACTTATGATGTGCTATGTGGTTATAAGGCTCAGCATACAGGAGCTTATTTGATTGCCAGAACAACCTGGAAGTACCTCAGACATAATTGGATCTCTTATACCATACCCATTTTACAGATGAAGAAAATGAGGCACAAAGAAGTTAATTGTCGTTTGTTTTCTTTCATGATTTTCTAAAATTTCCTTTTTTATTATGGACCTAAGCATCAACAAACATGAACATTTCATTATACAAAGGGGAACAAAAAAGGATTGTATATGAAACCAAGAATTTCTATTATGTACATTTTTAAGAGTGCATATAGAATTCAACATGGTAGTAACAAAAATTGTCCATCACATTTGCTTTTGAACTTTTTTTTCTTCTTTGTATTTAAGACATATTTTGGATGCTTTTTTCATCCTTTTTTTTTTGCATCTCTATTGCTACTCATAAATTCCTCTCCCCACCCCATACATACAGCCAAAATAGAGGCCAATAGGTATAGTCAAGCAAAACAACACATTGGCCATGTCTGAAAAATGCACATCTCAGTCTGCACCTCTAGCCTATCACCTCTCTGCCAAGAGGCAGATGGAATAATGCTTCTTTATCATCAGTCTTCTGAAGTCATGACTGGTCACTAAATTAGAGTTCCATAGACTTTCAGAGTTTTTCTTAAATATATGCTTTATAAGTTTTTAAGTTTTCTTTTATGTTATTCTAGTCATCATGTAAACTCAAGTCCTTCTTTTGCTCATTTCATTCTGCATCTGATCATATAAATCTTCTCAAATCTTCTCAGGTTTCTCAATTTTGTTGACTGGCCATCGTCGGAAGCACGTCAGAATACCTAGGTTCCAATCCTACATGAGGCATTTTCCTGGCAAGGGTGGTGGGTGAGGATGATAGTGGCAGTTAACTGCTTACCAAAAAAAGTAGGGTTCAGACATCCAAGCACTTATTTGACATGACTTTGAGTCAGACAAAGCAAAGACAGTGAAAAACAGATAGAAGTTCAGCTTGTTCTTGAAAATTGCTCCTTGAATTCAGGGGACAGGTTTTCTGATTGAGGTTATCTGTATTTTAAGGTAGAAAGGAAACTGAATGCTCTGGTTTCTGAGTTTTTATCTGTTACGATACCAAGTACAGGAAGTAGTTGAAAACACCCAAGAAAGGTGGTTCAAGAGGAAGGAAGTTTACTGAGCCAGGACACCTGGAAACATGAAAAGCCTTGATGCTACTAGAGTGTTTAGAGAGTTCCTGTAAATGTATCTTTAAATCTGTCATCTGTTTTTTATAAGCTATTGCGTAAAGTTAGTGCTTGAAAACAGAAGGAAAGCAAGTGTGTGTGTGTGTGTGTGTGTGTGTGTGTGTGTGTGTGTGTGTATGTATGAAGAAAAGAGAGACACACAGAGAAGGAGGTGTGAAATGATGACTAATTTAGTTGAAATTTGTTTTTCTTGTCTGGAGACAGTATAACTTGATTATAGTAAAAAACAATTAGTCTGATTTTCCAATTCCAGGGCATGCATGAAATTCCACTAAGTTCAATGTTATAAACATCTCCCCCCCCAAAAAAAAAAAAAGGTTGAAATGGCAAATGCTGGAGTGATAGAATGCAAAGAGCCTCATCTCTGCTCAAGACAAATGCCAAAATATTCGTTGTCAAGCCCTATGGTAAGGAAATGACAGCAGAGTTTATAAGAGGTGTTTGGAAGCGAATTCAGGCCCTCCTATCCAAGTAGACTGCTCTTAGCCCCCCTTCGTAGGTTTATCTAGACATTTCTCTCAAATCGCAATGTCAAAGTTCTTTTAGCTTCATTAACAAGTATAATTCCCATCTATATGCAGAGGTTGCATCTCAAAGGAGCCTGGTAAAGCCCTTCTTATTCCCCCTTTATCTTCTTAGTAAAATGTTAAATAACCTTGCTAAAGTTAGTTTTTTGATAAGCTGTGATGCCACCTGGCAGTGAGTCTTCCACCTCTTCTCCTCCACCTGAACAATGTACAGCAGTCATATTGGCAATGAAAGGCCAAGGCCACAAACGTGGCTGTGGTTCCTGGGGAACTCCTCAGGAAGGCCTCACTGGACTCTACTTAAATTTTACCCGGTCATATAATGTTAGGCCTGAAAGACACCTTAAAAACCATCTGATCCAATCTCCTCACTTTATGAAGGAGGAAACCGAGGCCCAGAGAGGGGCAGTTTCTTAATTCACCAAACATGTATTAAGCACCGCCTGTGCACAAGGCACTGTATTTAGTGCTCATTCTCTAAGACCCTTCCAGGTTGCTGTATGTCTGTGTAGTCCTTTGATAGAGGGTAAGCTCCTTGAGAGCAGATGAGGTTTGCTTGTGCTTCTTGGACCCTTGGTGCCTGGCACGGAATAGATACTTAACGCTTGTAATTGATCTAATCAGAGGAGAACATGCAAGAAAATACTGTTGTAGTAAGGAGAGTGAAAAAGGAAGAGATCTAGGCAATGTGCCACGTGCAGTGTGAGGAGAGAGAGCTCGTTGCCTCTGGAGAATGGGGAGGAGATGTGGATCTGGGAAAGCTGCAGGAAGGAGTTGGCACCTGACTTAGTACATAACCAAGGGCAGGCCCGCTCTTGGAGGGAGATGGAGATGCTGGCATGAAATATTTCTTGTATATGAGCAGTGTTATTATGGCATAAATAGCACTTTGATAGAAGAGTTTAGAAAAGGGGAAAAAAGTCCACCATGTACAGTTTGCTTAGCCTGCCACCTATATACTCAGAAGATGAAATGATGTACATTTTTTGGTGATATTTGTTACTGAGTCAGACAACCAGGCCTCTGTGTATGTGAACCACATGATATAGTAGAAGAGGCTTTGGAGTCAGAGGGCCTAAATTATTCTTAAGGTTTCTTTCCAATTCAAAATCAAAAGTCAAAAGTCCACCCACTTAAAATTGAAGCCAAGGAAGGTTAAACTGTGTAGATGGGGAATAGAGAGATAAAGTGAAATTCTTAGAATAAGTACTTTCATTAAGGTTCGCTTTTGTCAGTAACCTCATTCCATAGTTGTCAGAACATTCTGAGCCAGAGATATTAACTTATCTTAAAAATATGCAGTTGTACAAAGAACCAGCTAATCATCTATCTTTCAGGTTCTCATTTCCCTGGGCACCTCCTCTCATCTTTTCAGAACATGCCATGCTATCACAAGGACGAGTTCAGATGCCAAGGGTAAGCATGGTGTGAGATTTGGGAGCAGGGTTGGGGGGAGGGAAGGGAAGGATTAACAAATTAAGTCTTATTTTAAGGAAGCAGCTGGCTAGAAACAAAGTCAACTAGGCCAACTTTGCAGGACTGCGTTAGGGTTGACGGCGGTGTTATCCTTTAGCTCAGAGGCTCCTGGTTCTGGAGCTCGTAGGAACCTTAGAAGATACCTAGCCCAGCCCTGTCATTTTACAGAGGAGGAACTCTAGGCTGAGCAATGGGAAATAACCCAAAAAGTGGCAGAGGTGGGATTTGAACGTTGGCCCTCTGATTCCAGATCTAGCACTCCATGCTACACCAGGCAGCCTCCTGTGCCAGCTTATGGCCACCTCCGAGAGAATGCATGGCTAAGTAGGACTTGACTGTCGCTCTCAATAGTGTCCAATATGAGATCCGTTCTCAAGTGCCTATTTCTGAAACAAAGCACCCTAAAATCATGCTCAAGGTAGCTGTTAAAATAGTATTACTATTAGCAGCAAGGTTATACTCAGCTAAAATGTTTTATTTAATCGTGAGTAGCACCAGGCATGCCCCCCAGCTTTCTGCACACAGCGTACTAAGCTACAGCAGCAAGGCAAAACATATTAGGAGAACGAATGGCGCAGATTAGGACCAAACCGTCCCCATGTTTCAAGCTTTGTTTCTATATGCATATGTGTGTGTGGGTATAGATGTATACACAAAGTATATCTGTATATGTATACATACCCATGTATATTATGACATATACACACTTGCATGTGTGTATTTATATGTACATATATGCATGCATGTATATGTATATACATGTATGTGTACCTATATAGAGATACATACACATACATGCACACATATATATTTGATAACGGTATTTCAATATAATTGGTTTCCTTTATAATGCCACATATTTTATTTTATACATTTAGAAAGGTAATTCCAAGAAGGCATCTCTAGGCTTCGCCAAAGGGGGTCTGTCATACATACACACACACACACACACACACACACACACAGTAAAAATTCTCTGCTTGTAACTTTAATAATTGTAGAATGAAAGCATCAAAGTCCATGTTATATAAACCAAAAACTAAAATAATTTAAACACTGTTCCGGACATAGGACCTCATTTCCAAATATCATCCCGATATCCCAATATCAAAGGGTTGGAGGGGCCCATATATTCTTTATGGCTGCATATGCACATGGATATATTTGGGCTTTTGAGATGGGCAGATTCTATCACCCCTTTTCCTCTCTCCTCCCCCAGCTTACTTTCAAAAGAAATTCTTTGGGTTTGAGGTGGCCCAGAGAATGCTTCAGTTCACACACAGGTAAAGTTCTGAAGGTTTTCACCCCTCACATCCTGCTCTCACCCACAATATGTGCAACATGTCAGGCGTTTTAACTCAAAAGCAGCTCTATAAGATCTCCCTGTGTATGACTGAGCTAAAGAGATTTTCAGTTTCTCAAGTAAGGTTTTCTAGCTTAAGGTAGTCTGCTCTGATACCCATTTTGTTACAAATGCCCCACCAAAATTTTTTAAAAACCCAAAAACACCTTGTTATCCTTTAAATACAGAGAAATAGTAACACCTTGTTATCTTTTAAATGCAGAGAGTGAGATTGAACATTTTTTTATCCCTGGAAGAAATGTGGTTTTTTATAGTTGAAATATTACAGCAAATTGTTTATGATAGAACTAGCTATGTGACCTTTTAACAAGTCACTTAACCTCCATAGACTTGTCTCATTTGTGAACATGAGGAGGCTTGAGCAGAATATCTTAGCCTTAGAGCTGGAAGGAACCTTAGAGGTCACCTAATCCAACCCCCTTTTTACAGAAGAGGAAACTGAGGCTCAGAAAAGCTTGCTGAATGTCACATGGGTAGTGTGGGATTCAAGCCTTTAAGGTCCCTTCCAGCTCTACTATCCTATTATTTTCCAACCTGAATTAAAATGACTTGACTATTATTTACTCAGCCAATATTCCTAAAATGATTATCCACAAACACTTATTGAACATAGGACCCTATGCTAGGCACTGTGGAAGACTACTTATGACATAGTTCCTAAAGAAGAGTGCAAGACTTCATAAGATAACAGTCCCTGCTCTCAGGAAGCTTACACTTGCTGGAGAGACAGAACATAAAAGAGAATCATAAAATTGTAGACTCGTAGAGTTAAGCCAAGGTAGTCTGTGATAAATGCCAGATGAAGTTGTACAGACCATAAATACTGTGGAATTTGAGAGGCAAGAAGAGTTCAGTGTGGGCTGGTTTTGTGAAAGAGATGGGAACTAGCATTCCCAACAGTTCTACCAGTCGCTCTCTAAGCAATAGATCACCAAGCATTTACTAAGCACTTACTATGTGCTAGTGACTCTGGTTACAGAGACAAAAGCAAAATTATCACTGCCCGCAAGAAGCTTACATTCTGTTGGAGGAGACAACATGTTCATATATAGTTGTGTTATGTATACACACACACACACACACACACACACACACACACATCCACATACATTAAATATGAGGCCATTTTGAGGGGGATGCTTAGCAGCTGAGGGGGCCAGGAAAGTCTTCATGTAGAAGCAATTGCTAGAGCTGAGTTTTCTAGGAACCTTAGGAATCTTAAGATGTGGAGAAAATGAGGGAGTGGATTCCAGGCAAGAATGAGAGCCAGTCCAAAAATGCAGAGGTGGGAGATGAGATATATGAGGAATAGTCAAGAGTGCCAGTTTGGCACCAACACTTCTTAAACTGTGGGTGGGGTCTTGACCCACAGTTTAAGAAGTGCTCTCAAGTGGAAAAAGTTTAAGAAGTCTTGGGCTAGACCACAGAGGGCCCAAAAGCAAGTAATGCATAAATAAAGCTAGATAGGTAGTTTGGGGTTGGGTTGTGAAGGGCTTGAAATGCCAAACCTTGGATTTTGTATCTGATTTCTCCTGCATCAATCTAACAACCATGATGCTCAAGGATTATTGCCGAAGCTATGGCACTATGTACTTCTTGGTCTTCACCGTGGAAAACAGTTTCTCATAAAATAGGTTTTTGAAACTGTCTGGACGTTCTGTGTTTCCAACATATAACTTTTTGCTGAATCTTTTGTCCTCAGCTGTTCAGCAGCACAGTGATTATCCTGCTATATAGTCAGTCACTGCTCCTTAGGGATTATGGAATAGCTTTCATTGGCTATTCCAGTGAAACCTTTTTCAAAGCAAGTTAGATGACCAGATGGTAGGTACGGTTTTATTATGACCTTGTCAGCCTTCTCTCCCACTACTTCTACTCCCCATCTGCATATTCGCTAAGCTCTGTCCTGACTGACCCACTCATTCTTCCCTGAGTACTCCCAGGTCTTTCTAGCTCCATAATTACATGACTGCCCTGCTGCCATGATGTCATTGCTCGAGCCAGCCCTGTTCCAAAATAGGTTATTGCTTCACAGCAATCTCTTCATAGTGTTTTCTTATCTAGGGTTGGGGGCACAGTTACATGATTGACATCATTGATTGTGACAAGAACCCCAGCGATTCCCCTTTTCTCCTGAATCCAACACATCATAGATCACCTGGCCTTGCTGGGAGAAAAACACCTCTTGGATCTCATTAGAGCTGCTCCCGGGAGGTTCTGTGGGGCGTTTCACTGGGGAGCTCTCTTAGCCCCACCCCCTGGGGCTGAATGCTGGTTCTGCAGAGTCTTCCCTTGGGCTCTCCTTGGAAGCCAAGCTGCGAAACAAGAACTTGGATTCTTGGAGTCTTTCCATGGCATTGCTTTTTCTCTTTCCCAGAACTCTAGGCTTGCCTGGGCAATCACCCAGTGGGAGCCCAGGGAACCAGTGGTACTACAATACCTCCATTTAGATAGAGATGATCACTGCACATCCTACCATACAGTGTCTGCTATCATCTGCCTATTCATAAGATAGCTTAGTGTTCCATAGGCTTTCACACTTTTAATGAATTTAATTCACTAATAATCCCAATGGCCTAGATCAGTCTATCAACCTCTAACTTACCCAAATCAGAAATGGCAGCAATGAGTAGGTGATGGGGCCCAGAGATGCCCAAGAGAAGTATGTGGAAGGCACACAAGGCAGTCAGTTGTGCTGGTTTTCCTTAAATGGACACGCTGCAGGGCTCAGAATGGGCTGGGGAGTCTGGAGCAGGGTGGTGGCCCTCTCCTTGGTGCAGGTGACTCTCTTCTGTGTATGCTGATCGATCATAGAATTTTAGAGTTGGAGGGAAACGTAGTGGTCATCTAAGGTTTTCTTCCTCTGTTTTCACTTAAATTAGATCCCAGCAAGTCTCTTACTAGAAGGTGTTATCTATCTGTGATGATGTTTTGTTTATCACTTAATTCATCATGGCTGTGTTCATTTGAGAATATTATTTATTGAAGAGAGGAGAGTTAGAAAAGAAGTACAGCTCTGAGGTTCTTTTCCTACCTGCAGTGATGTTGGCCATGATGCCGCATGCTCTCAGTGCCCCACAGTCAATAGGAAAGTGGTGTGAATAGATTGGCATGAATCAGTAATGTCATCCTGCAGTGCCTTAAGCTCCACCTAGCTTCTAGTCTTCCTTCCATAGGCTTGGCTGCTAGCATATGTAGCCAGAGTGCCTTGGCTTGGACCTTGGGCTCTGGGCCTCCGTTTTATCCTCTGTAAAGTGAAGGCTGAGTTCCCTTCTAGCTCTAGACCCCAAGAAAGGGGAGCTAGCTCATGGAGAATTGGTGATGGAGTCCAATTTTTCCCTCTCCCTTATTTTGTTAGCCCCATACTCCTCAGTCAAGTATTTCAGTGTCCAGTCCAGTCCATTAGCTTATCTAATGCTCCATCCATGCACCCAAGATCTGTGCCTCCCACCCCTTCCCCCAACAGCCGTGGTGCTGCCATACCCTACCCCTCTTCTCATCTACTATGTGGAAACTTATTTGTTCTGTGGAAATTGCCCTGTCTCCTTAGGCTCTCTCTGCTTCCTGGGGTATTCAG